AGAACTTTGAATGATCTAAAATATCATGATGTCTGATTTTCATTTTCTCTTCTAGTTTCTGAGACCTAAACGGGACGGACGGACAGACAGGCCACACAAAACTAATAGCGTCTTTTCCCCTTTCGGGGGCTGCTAATAAAAACACTTCGATCCAAAGAGTTTTATATCTGGCACATAGATCTAGGAGATAAACTTAATATTAAGTAGCGTATCGTAAAACAAAACATCCTCCTATGTGGGTTAGGGTTAGGGTCAGGCATTATAAGTGAAAATATGAATTTTTAAAAATAATTTTTAAATTTATTTTTCGGATGACCACAGGACACTTTCATTATTCAATGTAATGTACTTTTTCTTTTTAAAAAATATTACACAATTACAAATAGATTCAACACATAATCAAGTTGCACTTTCAACAATTTTACGGATTTTTCTTTCTTTTTCTTTTTCAATAGAGACTTTTTTGTTTTAATTTGCTGAGGTGCTTCCTCCAATGAATTTTAGTATCTGTTATTAAAAATAATAGTAACTTAAGCTCAAACGTACGCCAACACATTTATAGGTTAGAGTTGGTTTTAAAAAAAAACGTCGGCCATGGCCACAGATAAGCGTTACATCATCTTCTCCATAGTTCGAAAGAAGTACCTACCCCCCCCCCCCCCAAAAGTTTGCCAAGTTGTATGTAAGATTAAAAGCGCACACTTCAAATTTATTATAGACAACTCCACTACTTACTTTGATTTCTTGTTGCCTATTCTTTTGATTAAAAATGTTATATAAAAAGTGAAACACAAAACGTCGTTGATGTACGTACACACAAAAAAGAAACGACACAATCCTAAGGAATCCTATACATTTTGTTCCAGAGACTTTGGCTACATTTCCAAATATAAAAACTTATTTGAACACACATTTGCAAACTGTTTGTAAGACTGGCGATAATGCTTACAAATAAGTGCCCAGAGGAAGTTCATATTCCTCACTCACTTTTTCTTTCCCTCCCTTTCCTTTGTTCGTATTTTTTTAAAATGTATTTTTCCCCCCTCGGTGCAATGGGGTGACTATTCCTAAAACACGGCACGCGCGCGGGTCACACAGTTATGCGGCATAGACAAAGGGACGTCACCCATGCTTGCATGGGTAACATTAATGCTGGAACCTTTGCGACGAGTAAGCTTTCCCTTTGCGATAGTTAGATCATGACCAGGAGGGGTGGGGGTGCGCTAAAATGTGGGTTGCGTTCATCCAAAATCTACAAATGTCCATCGATTGATGGCAAGTCTAGTGTTTGTAGCCCTGGACAAATTTCATCATGTAATGGAGGTGTGTGCAACTGATAACGGACAATAGGACAATGTTATTAACATAATCAAATTTCATAATTTCAGATTGAGAATGCATTTTCAGAGATTATAAAATCCGGGGGGGGGGGGGGGGGGGGGGGGGGGGGGAGACTTTATACAGTTTAAAAGAACGTAATTATTTTATATTAAAAGTACAATAACAATAGAAATTAAACGTAGGCTACGAGTTCTGGGTGAATGTTAAGTTAATACAAAAACAAAATCCATAGTTAGGTCTACGGTTAAAGTGCCCATATCAATCCAAACATACAAGAAAGATAGAGAGTGGATTAATTTAAGCGTTGTAAAAAAATAACGCTTCAGTTTAAGCCAGGCGGTCGTTTTCTTTTAGCATTCGTTTTTCTGCGCAATGGGCACAAGTTTTGAAGGACTGGATGCACCAAAAGAGCTTGCTTTTGGTGTATCCGGTGTATGATAATTAGTTATTTTTTTGTAAAGGTATAGGATTGGTATAGGATCATTTTTTATTCACTATTAAGTAATGCAAAATCAATTTTTTAAGTTCTTCCGTTTAATGTACAATACAATTTCAATATGGATCTAGATCAGTAATTTTAATATTTATATTTGATTCGAGCTGAATTGTGTTTTCTGAGCGCCCAAAGGCAGCATCAGAGGCGGCCTTAGCAGAGCGCGGGGCCCTTGTCGAGTGTCATATGCGGGCCCAAAGCCTCTCTAAACCGAACCACATCACTCTAACGGGTTTGTCCGCCTCTAACACTGTAGGTCTTATTTTTCGCTACCAAACATAGTACCTTGCGTAGCTACTGTATTCGGCATTTCACTAATTACGTTGTGTATTGTAATTGTTCTGCTTGAAAGGTTTCACCTTAATAAACGTAACTAATGATTCAGAAACATTTTGCATGAAAAATCAACAAACTAGATAATAATAATAGCCTAATTTCTGCTAAGCCCGATGGAGTAGGAAAGTAACTAATAAATACGAAGGAAAACCAGAACACATTCAATAACCAAATAGTTGCTTCCATGCTTAGACTGTCACAGACGGATTCAGTCACGGAACTTTCCCGGCTTGTCGTTTTGCACTAATAATAATATTATGTATCTTCTCTCCCGATGCGCGGTCTGAATGCCGAAGCCAAATGGATGTTCTTTAAGAAAAATGTGTGCGATAGGAGTTACAGTAGTCCCTTTACGTTCGCAGATCCGACTTTCGCAGAAGGGCTATACCACGGGTTTTCAAAATAAGTCATGAAAAAAATAAAAACGCGATTTTTTAATATTTTGTTCAACACGGGTTTTCCCACAGCCACCCAATGTAAAAGTACAGTAGCGTATCGAGGGGGAAAAAAAAAGAATACTTCATCGCCAAACATTCTGGATGCTTATTAGCCGAAATAGCAGTATAGCATATTAACTGGTTCAATCGAGACCAATCGTTAGAGTATGTCTCAACACTGACCAGCGACATCGCAACCTGTGTAGACCAATAGCTCGTTTCCCCGTCATAGTTCGTGACGTCAGAAACAGTTGGCATGTTGGGAGAATGGGGAATAGTTATCTAGGAGATAAACGTGTTAGAGGATGTCTGGTGATACTGTTCGTATCCCAAAAAAAAAATAATAAAAAAATGTACGTATATGAAATTAAATAGCGCGGAAATAACTATATCCTTGAAACTAGTTCAAACTTGATCACTACGCGTTTTCCGATACAAATCCGATTAGATGTCGTTATTTACGAACTAAACGATGTTAATTGTTCGTTTCACGCTACTTGTTTTTATTGATGCCAAGGTGAATTTTAAAACAATGGTAGCCTCATAGCATCGATGTTGCCTTAACGGCTTAACCGAACCTGAACGGATTTAGAAACCGAAAATGTTAAGAGCTTGTTTGGTAATAAGTATCATATAGATGCCGGTAAGGCTTCCAAAATATTGAGTAAAAAGTCCTGATTAATGTGAACTGATCTGGACTGCGAAGCTAAAGGTGACAAGGAAATCTACGAACGCGGGGCCCCTCTCAGGCGCGGGACCTGGGGCGGTTGCCCCACTTGCCACCCCCTAGGGTTGAGTTGGTGAAGGGTTGGTTAATTTCTCATTCATGGCCTATGGACAAGTCCTTCTTTTTGATCCATTGTCTAAGGAGCCCTCAACTGTGGCTACAGTGGACACATTTAAAATTAAATAAAACAAAACACTACACATTAAATCTTGTTTTTAAAAAACGTGTTTCAATTAGATACATACAAATGCATACTTTCTTCTTTTTTAAACAAAAATAACAAGTAGAGTGTAAGTGATTCGTATAACGAAAATACACCAATTAATAATATAACTAATTTTTTATAACATTATTTTGGGAAATAGGGGGCGCGATGGATGAGTGATTAAGAGCTTGGCTTGCGAACCTGGGGTCCTGGGTTCAAGTCTCGGCGAAGACTGGGATTATGAATTTCCGGATTTTTAGGGCGCTTCTGAGTCCATCCAACTTTAATGGTTACCTGACTTTAGTAAAGGCGGTTGGTCGTTGTGCTGGCCACATGACACCCTGCTTTTTAACCGTTGACCATAGAAACAGATGACCTTAACATCATCTGCCCCATAGATCGCAAGGTCTAAAAGGGGAACTTTATACTTTACTTTTATTTTGGGAAATATCAAAGCCATTTGAATAAATACTATAAAATATGCAGAATAATAAACTTTCTTTGTATTCGTCATAACCTCCACCACCCCCACCCCCTGCTTTTAATACTATAAATGGTAAATAGTTTTAAAATGTTTTTTTAAATCTAAAAAGACGGACGGACGGTCAGGCAGACTACACAAAACTAGAGCTGCTTTTCCACCTTTCGTTGGCCACATGCATTCTCATTGGCCTGTCATGTCATAAGCAGATATTCTCTCCCGATTCAAGGAGAACTAGGTCTAGAAACAATGTTTTAGGCCTATATGTTTTCGAAAACATAGATCTAGCGCCAAAACGGCGGCGCATCGCGACAATAATTTTAGCTTTTGGAACGACCCATGTAGTACCAAGACCACGAAAGAAAGAGGGTGATAAATTAAGTTAGGGGAGAGAACCAGAGAGAGCTACTGAGATGACTAAATATAACGCAGAGAACGTCAACTCAAGGGAACAACTCAGACCTAAAACAATAAGGGAATATTTATCTAAGGTGACATTCCCGGCAGCTACCGGTGACGCGTTTGCAAAGATGGGGAATCGCGATCGATACAGCGATGACTTCTTTTCAAGCCCACATTGCCAAAGGCAAATGTAGTCCCAAATTAATATCCAATGAAAAGCAACAACCTTATTTTATAATAACGTGCAAGCATGATAGAAGGAAGACTTGTGAGGCGACTGTAAAATCAAACAAAAATAAATAATCTCTCTCACACACACAGAATTTCATAGGCCCCTATACCTCCCCCCCCCCCCCCCCCCCCCCCCCCCCCCCCCGGGTATACTAGATACTGAGTTCCTGTCTATAATGAAAGCCAAATCTAAGTCCCAGGTTTAAAAATAAGCGAATATGCATCATATGTGTATAAATTGTGAGAGTTGTGTTAAAGCCTTAGCTCGATTGCCCGAACCCCTGACATTCCACAGGCACCTTCGTGCTTACAACAAATAATTGACTCGCTGTTAACAATGTAATAGTTTAATGATATGAATGCAAGTTATAATGACAAACTGATGGAGTAAAATCATTGAGTTTAAAACATTATAATATTGTGGATATATTAATTAAACAACCATTCTGCACCTTGCTGTCCCACAACGCAACACATTAGTAGGCATAACACTGGCCCACTGCGACTCTAGTCCAGAACCAACTCCCTGTAGAGACGTAAGACAAAGTGAAAGGTCTCTAGTCTAATACTCTAGGGCAGAGAAACAACTGGGACATGCACTACTGTCTTAGGTCTAGTCTAATACACTAGGGCAGAGAAACAACTGGGACATGCACTACTGTCTTAGGTCTAGTCTAATACACTAGGGCAGAGAAACAACTGGGACATGCACTACTGTCTTAGGTCTAGTCTAATACACTAGTGCAGAGAAACAACTTTGATATGCAGTACTGTCTTAGGTCTAGTCTAATACACTAGGGAAGAGAAACAACTGGGACATGCAGTACTGTCTTAGGTCTAGTCTAATACACTAGAGCAGAGAAACAACTGCGAACTGCAAGTACTGTCTTAGAGATTCACCCTGAACAGGGAAGCTCAGACGAAAGAAACGTTACACCAGCATAACAGAAAAACCTCCATAAGCTTAAAAGCAAGGCAACAAAAGAAGGTGCTTTTTTTTCGTATATCAAAGTAGGCGAAATTAGTTTTCTTTGAACTTGTTTTTAGTCTAAGCTGTACACAAATGGATTAGGAAACAACGTTACACACACACACTCACAACTAAATCGTGTAATAGGTGTTGATTAACTGTGAATAGAAACTTCCCTTTAAATTTCATTTTCGAAAGTTTATATAAGTAGGCTATGTGCGTTCAATAGGCCTAAGCATTCTCAGTTTTTAAAAACAAACATTGCTGAAGACAAGTTGCTGTTGCACCTACATTCATTGATTTTGTTAAAGATTTGGTTGATTCAACCAGCGCAGTCCCATACATATATAAGAGGCAGACTATAGACTCAACAACATATTCTAGTCTCTTGACAACAATGTGCTAAATATGAGCCTAGATATATATCACAACTGATTCAGGACCTTAACCTCAAAGATGCTTGGATTGCTTTCTTTCAAACACAAACACTATGTCCACCTATTTCATAGTAAGTATTGTAGGCATATTGTATAATTTACTATGGACTATAGAAACAAAATAGAGATCCAGGATCATAAGAATAATGCCAATTTTAATTTTAAAAAGTATTTATTTTATGACAAATCTATAATATTTTAATGTTTAAACGTCGGGTCTGTATAATAATTAATTAAAGAAAATTGAAAAAAAGAAAAACAAACTTATTTAAAAAAGATACATGTAAGTAACTTAACACAAATGGCATCAACTTTTAAACCTATCAACTCAATTTCTGGTTTGAGTGAAATTTAACAATCATTGTAATTGGATTATTAAAAACAACACTTTTCAAAGAGGGTAAAGTTAGGTCTGTTATTAGTTAAAAAAAAAAAAAAGATGCAATTATTGTATTTAAGATTTGAACAGTGTCATGAGAAGATTGAGCTAAAATTTGATGCACTACTTACTATTGAAAGAAGTTAGAATCTGACTGAAATTTCTAATAACATCCTTAGATCGCTGAAGTTTGAGCATTTCACATTTTATGCATGATCTTGAGGTTTAGCAATATAATATTTAACATGTGTATGCTTCATTAGACATCTAGGCCACTTTGGTCAAGGCTTATAATAGCCAAAATGTTTATAATAAAAACATGTTCTGAAAACAACAACAACCGTGTCACTTGTACACATTACAAGTAAAATTGCAAAACATAAAAACATGTTCCTCATTCACTCACATGCAACATCTAATCACAGCTTTAATGGCTCTCTTCACGTGTCACCTGTCATGATAGCTATAAATTCTTCTTCATTGACTGTGGGAAAAAAAACAACACTGCTATTACAATGAAAATCTTTAAATTATAGGCCAGTTCCTTTAAGAAATAAAAAGCTTATTGACCTAAATACAGACATTATTTCTACATTTAATATCATGAATTATAATATATGATGAGATGAGTTTCTACTTTCATCTTTGTAAACTGTTAAGCCTTTTAAACATTACATATAAATTTAAATTCCATAGTCTTTATTTTAAAAAAATATTGCCACCAAAAATATTTTATATCACAAAATTTGAGAAAATGTGAATTTGTTTTGAACTTTGAGATGTTTAAACAAAGTAAATGGCAATCTTTTTTTTTTTCCAAAAAATAAATTTAACATTATTTCCTCCTCAGCAGCTAGTTCAATATTAACTGCAGTCAAAATCATTCACCATGATTTCTCAAAACATTTATTATGTGTTGGTATGTAAAAAAAAATATTTTAATAAACACAAATTTGAAGTAAGCTAAGTGAAAAAGGTCATTATTAGTTGCAACTTAAAATTACCATTTGTTAGTGAATAATGAAAAAACTTGGTCCATCATAACATGGTTTGAAACAGGGAGAAGACATTATTTGAACAATAAATTTGTTGAATATGTCACTTTTTGCTATGCATGATCTAAGTTTTTTAAAGCTAAAAAAAAAATAAAAATTTAAAAAATAATCTTTAAATATTATGAATTTCTCAGTATTATATGTAAGGATTCAGATAGTCCTATATATAAAATCAGCTACTAGTGATTCTTAGATCAGACTGCAGTACGCACAATTTTTCTTTCATGGGGGTGTTTTGGGGCCAGTATCTTGTTTGGGCCTCTTGATAAAGCATGCAGATTTGGATGACATAGTAGGCATTCTCTGGTGGTACTTCACCAGGGCATGCTTCTTGAGTTCTAGAACATGTTTTGTCTCTTTCTGCTGTATCCTATTCATAGGCCAAAAAATATTGTTGATAATGTCGGGACAAGTTATATTGTGCATTATTTTTGTTTAAGTTTGGTTGAGAAAATCCATTTTTTGGTTTATATTACTCTCTATTATTTTCCTACTCTCTTTCGGATAATAAGAAATTTTTTAATGCTTACTCATAATTTCCAGGTTGAAGGATTTTAGAGTATCGTCTCCCTGAGTCCATATGTTAAGGAGAGTCAACTGGTTGAATGTTAAGCTGATCACAAAAAACTTTAATTTTCAGACAGAGATTTTTATGTTCACATTTGTGGGTCTTATTGCAACAATAATGAGTATCTAAAAACATGATTCTCAGCTCCGAATTCTATTTTTAAAATAGGTGCAAAAGACTTTTGATTGGTAGACTTACTCTCGCCGTCACCATCTCTGTCAAACTCATCGATCATGGCCCTCAATTCCTCATCTGTCATATTTTCACCCAGTTCCCTAGAGATGAAATAAACAAAACAAAAACATAACTTGAATACTAATACTAGTATAATAATTTATTTTTATTATAAAGAAATATATTTTTACCAAAAAATTTTTTTTAAATAAACAAACCGTGCAACTCTTCTTAGATTACGCAAACTAATTTTCCCAGATGTGTCATCATCAAATAATTTAAAAGCTTTAAGTATCTCTTCTTGTGGATCCCTGTCTAGCATCATGTCTGTCACTATTAGATAAGAAATGAACAAACTGTTTACATATTCAGAAAAAAAAAAAAAAGATTTAAATATAAGCATAAAAAAAATCAAAACTGTATAATAATTTTACAAAAATTTTACTTACTAACTTCATTGAAATCCTCAAAAGAAATCTTGCCTGTACTTTCTCTATCATAATCTCGTAATGTCTTTAATACATCTGCTTTTTTAACATCAAAACCCAGGGCTCTCATGGCCACCTACAGAAAAAAACAAAAACAATATGAATTTATTGGCAGAAATACTTTCTTTTTGTCACCAATTAACTTTCTTTAACTTAATCTTGTGCTTCAGGGGAGCATAGGCCCACAACCACACCTCTCCACACAACTTGGTTCTGAGCAGCTTTCTACCTCTGCTTCCATTTCATTTCAGTATCCTCAACCTCACTGATGACCTCTTCCAGTTTTGCTCTTCCCACTTTCTTCTTTCCTAGTGGATTACAATCAAGTGCATGTCTTGCAACATTGGTCACTGGTTTTCGCAGGAAGTGTCCTATCCAGCTACACTTTCGTTTTTTGATATCTTGGGCTATGGATTTTTGCCTGGTTCTCTCCCATACGTTAACTGGTTATCTTTTCCATCCTCCTAATCCCCAATATCTGGAGTAGGCTGGAGTTTTTCCATATTTCTTTTTTGACTCTCCATGTCTCTGAGCCATACATAAGGTCCAAATTAATGATTGCGTTTTAGATTCATATCTTGTTTTGTAAAACAGTGACTCTAAGCACCAGATTGCTTGAAGGGTGGAAAAGGTAAAACTAGCTTTATTAATCCAATTTTGTATATCATCATCAGTTCCACCATCTTTACTAACTCTACTTCCCAGAAAGATGAAGTGGTCTCTAACAAGGATGTTTTTCCCCTGTAGCATGATTGGGTTCTCTTGTCTGTTATTTATCCTCATAATCTCCATTCTCTTTTTGTTGACTAGAAGTCCGGTCTTTTTCACAACTTCTGAGACTCTGGTCCATTTGGTCTAAGCAATTTGTTGTGTCTAAGAGAGCAGGCAGAGCCCTCCAGATGTTGTGTTAAGGTCCATTAAACATGTTGCTTTTATTGTCTAACACTGTTTGTCTCATGTCACCACATTAGCTTATTATTATTAAAATGTACAACTTTATGCCATTTTGGTAGGTATTTCATCAGCCTTAAGATGGCTGCCTGGTGGGTTGGTATGCTTTCTAGACTGTTGTCACCATGATCATGAGCTCAAACCTTGTATGCCATAATCCCTTGCTATTGAGCAGAAGTTGGGCTAGGACATAATAATCTTCCACCCCAAAGCTTATAAGCTGCATTTGACTGATGCCAACTGAAGGAGAGGGTTTTTCATTCAATTATTTGATAAGAAATTTAACTCTTTCTCTGCGTAATTATTTTTCTCGTTACGATAGTATTATTCATTTTGCTCATTTATATTTCACTATCCTTTTATAATTTAACTTCTATAACTTTTTATTTGTTATCAGAAAATGTAATATTTGGTATTGAATTATAGGAGAATGCATGCTCTTATTATACAACACAAATTAAAGTTTATAAATCCAAAAACCAATTTAGTTTAATGGGAGTCAAATCAACCTTGGCATCGTCAATTAGGAGAGAAAGAGTTAAGATGTAAATTGAATTGTGTAGAAAGAACAAATTTAAGATGTAAATTGGAATGTACATTTGAACTTCTGTATCTTGTTTAAAAAATATAATGTGGCATTACACACAGTGATACAAACAGTACAAAAGTGAGACCAACTTACTTTAAGCTCATGGTAATCAATGGCTCGATCTTTATCTGTATCAAACAAATCAAAGGCTTCTCTTATTTCTTGCTTCTGCTCTTCAGCAAGTTCACGTTTCTTTTTTTTCTTATTCTTATCCAAAGCAAATTCAGCCCTGTCACAAAACAAATCATACTAAGTCTTCTTTCCCACATGGTTAAATCAAACAGAAGATAATAAAAATAACATTTCAACAAAAGAAATTGTGCTGAATAGTTGACCACACTTCAAGACAAATGAATTTAACTTAATGGTTATTATAAATTTCTAAGTTTCATGTTATGAACTTATTTTTATAGCTAATCAAGTCAAATAAATAAATAAAATATCAGGATGTCTCACATTTACTTAATACTAAATTGAGGGGGATAGAAAAAGGATACAAAAGTAATGCAAAGATCATTATCCAGAAAAAAAAACAACTACAAATACGGTCTTATCAAACCCGACTATCTGGGGTTAGTTAAATGTTTAATTTTTAAGATCTAATATTTGAGGGACTTACAGAAAACCCATGCCATATTTTCATTATCGGTACTTCCAGTTACCACCTCCTTCTCAAAAGAAACAATAACAAATCATCTTATAATAACTATGGCCTCATTCAGTCGTGGTGCAGCGAATATGGATCATATCATAGAAATGAGAAGAATGCATGGCATTAGCTATGCTCCGAACAATGTTGCCAACACAGCAATTCTTCCTCTCTGCGCAGCCAAAGAAACAGCTGATACAGTTTAGGATCAGCTGTATTGCAGGCTCTGCTAGGGTGTAGTACTGCATGATGCAAACTGCCAGCTCCTGATTATCATCAGGGTTGACTCCTGAAGCCTTTGGGTCTAGCTGCAACGTAGCAGAGGTTTGAATTCAGAGTTTTCATTATCCTAAAAAGCGTAGCAAGCCTCTCCTGCCCAAAGCTTACTGGTTTAGGCATATGTTACTAGTCTTTGCCCCTTCTCCTGTTAGTGAAAACAGTTCTGCCATGCCCAATATCTGAGCCACACATAAAATCTAGGAGATGGACTGGTTATCAGAGGCTAGTTGAGACTTAAGCCATTGGAAGCTTTTTATAGATAGTGGAGTGCTTATATCCATTACTACTTCTGATAATCATCAGGGTTGACTCCTGAAGCCTTTGGGTATAGCTGCAACGTAGCAGAGGTTTGAATTCAGAGTTTTCATTATCCTTAAAAGCGTAGCAAGTCAAGGCTAGCAAGCCTCTCATGCCCAAAGCTTACTGGTTTAGGCACATGTTACTAGTCTTTGCCCCTTCTCCTGTTAGTGAAAACAGTTCTGCCATGCCCAATATCTGAGCCACACATAAA